TTTTTTTGGTTTTTCTCCGGTACCGGGAACCGAACTCACGACCTTGCGCTTGCCAGGCAGGCGCTTTGCTGCTGAGCTAAATCCCCAGCCCCCCACATTCTGTACATTTTATCCTGTATACAGTGTTTATAGTTCTGGTAATTGAACCCAGGGTCCTCGCACTGAGCTATATCCCCAACCCTTTTCTTTTTTCATGTTAAGGCAGGGTGTATCTAAGTTTCCCAGCCTGGCCTAAACTTGCAAGCCTCCTGTTTCAGCCTCCAAGAATCTGTAATAATTTTAACTGCTGTGAAAAATTATGTGAATATTGTACTAAATTTTTAAATTTAAATTTCAGTGATATTTACAGTTAGGTTGTAGAGCCTATTAAATCATCAGCTCAAAACTATACATAATTGTCTGTATATTTGAAAATATGTTCTATATAAATATTCTACTTAAAAAGCATGAATATTTTTCTCTTTTGTATACAGCTCAGTTAAGGCTTTCACACTATATCAAGGTAGTGTTCATTGTAAATGTAAAAGATGACAATTCAGTAGGACTTTGAGGTTGTATTTCTTAGTATTTCCCTTTGCATTTATGCTTGTGCTTGATAAAACAACCTATACACTTTTCTTATGTATGTAGTTTCGTTTTCTGCTAAACTTGGGAAAGTTTTATTTCATACATTAAAGTACTAATCCATTTGGTATTAATTTTGTGTGCGGAAGATGATAATATATTTTCATATGGATACCAGTTATAATCAGAACTATATTAAGTGTGATAATATGGAAAATATTTAAAGTTTTAAAAATTGTTACAGTAAAAGATGTATTGCATTCATTCTTTTCACAGTACTCTCTACTATTTTCAGTACACTTATTCTTGCCATTTTCTAAAGCGGTTCTGGAAGTCCACTTTTGTAAATCTTCAGTCACAATGAGTGGCTGCCTCAATGCCCTGAATCAACACAAAATATTTACCTTTCATGGTCATTTTAACTATGCCAGCTCCAGTGATTGAAGTGGATGAGGACACACCGTATTTTTATACCCTTGCCTTTCCATTGGATAGCACTCAGCAGCAACATTCACTGTATTTTTAAGCACATATTGTAAAAATACTCACAAAAGAGGACTTGCAGAACACTTTTGAAAGTGACAGGAATGATGGGATAAATGTGTTCAAAGCATAGGAAGTATTTCAATGGAAATTAACAGGAATAATATTTTTAAATGTTAACATTTACCTTATATTTGGGTCACCTCTTGTATAGTTCAACCTTGTTCCATGAACTTGCAGTGCTTCCTCTACCATATATTATTTTCCACATATATTGGTCTGGTTTTCACGCTATTTTTCTGTTTTATTGTACTGATTTGTTTTTCTATCTCTACAACTATTTCATTTTAAGTGATCGCTTTATAATAAGTCATAATAGCTTTAAGGGAAATTTATGACAAAAAATTCATAAAGTAAGTTAAAAGATGGACCACAGATTGAGTGGTATTTCTAACACAAAAAATTAATGTCTAGAATATATAAAGGACTACCAATCAGAACAAAAATCCAAAAGAAAAAGTAAAAATTGATATGAATAGGCTTCAGAAGAGATACTCAATTTCACTAGTGTACCAATAGGAAATTCAATATGAAATGATAATCAACTATCATAGACAATCTATAATATAATGGAAAACACTAAAATCTAATACAATTTAACATTTCAGAAGAATATAGAGACACAGAAACACTTAATACATTTGGAGATGAAATCCTTTTTTCAGAATTTCCCAATACCTTATAAGGTTGAAAATCTGCATACCATGAGGCAAAATTTCAGACCTAGATATCTACTCTAAACAAACTCTTGAATATGTATATTAGGAAATATGTTTACATATGTTCATGCCAGCAATGCTTGTAACAACAAAATAAACAGAAGCGTAACTACTTTCAGTAGGGGAGTGGTTGGATAGCATTTGAAATAGGTCATTATATAGTGTGCAACCTGAATAAACTACAGCTATATGTATCAATATGGATAAATGTTTGAAATGTAATATTGAGGTTCAGAAGCAATTTGTAGAAAAATATGCATTTGCCTTACTTTCTCATTGCTGGGACACAATAGCCAATGCCTATAAGTTAAAGAAGGAGCAGTTTATTTTAGTTCACAGGTTCTACACGTTTCAGTTCATGGTTGTCTGGCTTCAAGTATGGCAGAGGGAAATGTGAGAGGAGAAAGAGATTACGGCAAAGTAGGAAGAAAGTAGTGCACGCTCAAGGGAGGTGGGATATATGTATCATGCCCACGGGGAAGCAGTGAGCCAACTCTTCCCACCAGGCTTCACTTCGCAACATTACACCCAGCTATAAGCCCATCAGTGGACTAATCCAGTGATGAGTATCACATACCCATCTTCCATTCATCTCTTGAAAGCCCATCTTATGATCACATGAAGCTTTGGGGAGACATTTAGATATAAGGCATAACAGTACTGAATGATTCAATGTTTGCAATTTTGTAAAGTCAACATTACATAAACTTTATGAGTACCCACATATATAGTGTATTCACTTTCCATTACTGACAAATCTCTGAGATAAACAACTTAACCAAAATTTTATTCTGGCTCACTGCTTTAGATGTCTCAGTCCATGGATAGCTACCTCCATTCTTTCTGGGCCTGTGGTGAGGCACAACATCATGGTACAGGAAGGCTGCTTGCCTCATGTCAGACAAGAGGGAGGGAGATAGGGAGGGAAATAGAAGATAGGAGGAGACAATGAACAAAATATACTCTGCAAAGGCATGCCCCTCACCTGCTTCTTCCAACTAGGCCTTATCGCTTAGAGTATCCACCATCTCCCAGTAGCACCATGAGCTGAAGACCAACCTTTCACCACATGAGCACTTGGAGGACATTTATGATCCAAACAATAATAGATAGTAAAAAAATAAAAACATAAAAATAAGTGATACCACAGCTTTACCTATGGAGATACAGGAAAAAGGTGTTATGATATACAATTGTATCTAAGATTTTACCTCTTTTGAAAAGGAGATCTGAAAAAGTAGAGCAAAATTCAAGTATCTATTGAGACTAGATGGTGGGCATGGGACTTCAGCCATACTCTCTCCTGTTTTTTATTTATGATGAATGTATTTCACAATTTAAAATTCCAGCCTTGTGTAATGGCTCACACCTGTAATCTTAGCACTTGGGAGGCTGAGGTGGGTGGATCAAAGCCAAGCCGGCCTACACAGTTGAGTCAAGGACAGCCCAAACTACACAGAAAGATCCTGTTTCCAAAAAAAATCCATAAAGAGAGAGTGGTTACCTCATTGTGTTCAGGAAATGTTAGATTCTCTTCTACCTACACCAAACACCTTGGACATTCCCACATATTTGGCAATACACTTGTCCTAAT